CCCTGATATGCGACGGTTTAAATGACTATCTACTGTCCTTAAATTTCTTCTCACCCCAACAGCATGGTTTCAGGAAGGGTTACTCTTGTATAACCAACCTGCTGACTGCGGTGGACAGATGGACAAGCATCCTCGATCGCAAGGGAAAGGTTGATGTCATTTACCTTGATTTCTCAAAAGCTTTTGATAAGGTTAACCACTTGTGTCTTATCAACAAGCTCAAACGACTAGGTATCAAACCACTTCTAATCGACTGGCTTACTTCATACCTAAAAAATCGACACTTTAAGGTTAGGGTTAATTTCACTTTATCTCAAGCTATGGAATGTCCTAGTGGGGTCCCCCAGGGCTCAGTACTAGGGCCTCTTCTCTTCTTGATCTACATAAATGATCTTCCTCAACAGGTAACGTCAGACTTATTACTTTTTGCCGACGACGTGAAACTTTGGAGAGAGATACGCAACCAAGACGATATACAGGCACTTCAAGAGGATCTGACTCGACTTCAAAGTTGGGCAGACGATAACGGACTTACCTTTAACACTTCAAAGTGTAAAGTAGTCCATCTGCGACATGTCGCAAACTACAGTTACAACTTGGGAAACTCCTCTCTAGTAGTATCCCAAGTCGAAAAAGATTTAGGAGTCCTGGTGCCCCATGACTTAAAGTCTTACGCTAACTGTGACAAAAATGCCTTCCGAGCAAACCTTGCACTGGTAACGTTGAGGCGCATTTTTGGTCAGTTTGACGGAAGAACTTTCCACACAATCTTCAATAGTTTCATCCGTCCCCATTTAGAGTACGGAAACATAATACTCCCCCCCTCACTCCAAAAGGACAAGGTCACTTTGGAGCGTATCCAACGGCGAGCCACGAAATCAGTTCGAGGACTCAAATCTAAGCCTTACGAAGAACGCCTCCGTTCACTAGACCTTTACCCACTAGAATATAGGCGTCTTAGAGGTGATTTACTAATGGCTTATAGTATTCTTAACACTTCTGGACATCCTCTTAAACACCTACTTAAGCTTAGTTCGAATAATAACCTAAGGGGTAACACCCAGAAACTGGAAACACAACATAGCAAGACGGAATGTAGACACAACTTCTACTCCTTAAGAGTTGTCAAAAGCTGGAACTCGCTGCCGGCCGAGCTAGTCCAAGCGAATTTCAAAAAGGGCAGTGAATTTTGTACTTGTTGTGATTATACTTGCTTTTGGTACTTATTGCACTAAAAAGCATTCTTGGTCTACTTTAACTAAGAGTTCTTTGGTTAAAGTTTGAAATTTTTGCTACATTTTGTCCTGGGTACCTGTTTTTAGTCCTTGACTAACACTTGTATTCATATTGTTATAATTTTTTGTTTTTAAACCTTTTAAATCGAATTACAATGGTTGGTAAGACTCACAAATGTGGGCAACCAAACTGTTTGTTCCCTGTGGAAGAGGGGATGCAGTGTGACGAATGCCATAAGTGGTTCCACAAAATGTGCACCCGCTTAAGTCCCACCGCATACAAAAGATGCTCGAAGCCTAACTCACATTGGCTTTGCATGTTTTGCTGTACCAACAAGGCATTACTAATACAGGAGGCTATGAGCCTGTTGGCTTTGGCCTGTAAAAAGAAGGATGGCATATGCGCCGACAACACGGGCACTGACAGCGACGAATGTGTCAGTGTAGTACCTGCTGTTACGCGACGCCTCAAAAAATCGACTCTGACTGACGTAAAAGTGGAATATTCGTTGACATTAACAGGGGGAGAATAGGCAAGAGGACCGAGGACAATGTTGAACCCCGTCCATGCAGACTCCTTAAGGTAATCCTAGGATCGGAGAAGCAACGGGATCTCTTGTTAAGTAGCGCTCGTTGTCACGACAATTCTGACATCCGAGTTAGACCTGACATGTCTTGGAAGCGAATGCTACCAAGGCCTGTGTGGATAGGCTGTTCTACTTAGGAGTTTTATATGCCAACGCTCGTAGTTTACGAAATAAGTTCTATGAACTAGAAGCACTAGTAGACAGGTTAAAGCCACTCATAGTAGCAGTGACAGAAACTTGGTTGGTCCATGACTTAGACATTACTCCAGAATTATCCGGATACCATTGCATCAGGAGTGATAGACATAGATGTAGAAAAGGAGGGGGCGTCCTGTTATATATCGCCAATGGCATAAATATCCGCTCCTTTACTAGCGAATCCCATGATAGCGGCACTTGTGAAGTCATTAGCTGTAAGTTGGCAATAGGATGTAGTACATTTATGCTAGGTGTCATCTATCGGAGCCCAATCTGCTTAGCTGATGACTTTGTTTTAGAGCACATTCATCTTTGGAGTGATAATACCAGGTGCTTGATAATAGGAGACTTTAACGCACCTGATATTAATTGGACTGATATGACCACAGAAGGATCTATAAACTCCTTTGATAGTAGGTTACTGATAACATTGATGGAGCATGCACTAGTGCAGCATGTATCCCAACCCACACGTTTTGGTGTTAACCAGGGTTCTTCTCTGCTGGATTTGGTAATCACTCATGAGACTGAGGATATTGTCGACTTAAATATTCTTCCACCGTTAGTAAACAGCGATCACGCTGTTTTGTCATTCGCGTTTAGAACTAGGGACATGTTATACGATCAGGTTACACCGCGCCCAAATGTATGGAAAGCTAACATATCAGCCATTCAGGAATGCGCTGCTAAGACAGATTGGTTAGTAGATACTAGCATATCAGTTGAAGAAGCATGGTCTGTATTTAAAGGTAAATTTAGACTAGTTACGTCCCCGTTCATACCATACCTGGTACCGCGAAGACCGAATAATAGTCCACCATGGATAACTAAAACGGTCAGGAAACTCCTTTGAAAAAGGAAGAATCACTGGAATATGTTCATCTCTACTGGCTTAGAACAATACAGATCCAGTTATTGTAAGATTAGGAATGCCTGTAAAGCGTTAATAAGCAAGACTAGACATTCATACGAAAAACAATTGGTTAGGGATTCTAGATATAGTCCGAAACGGTTATTCTCGTATATAAAAAGGCGAACTAAGAGAAGCGATGGAATTCCATCACTTTTGATACGAGACAATCCGTTAATCTTAGCAGAGAATGATGCCGAAAAAGCTGAAGCTTTATCGGAATATTTTAGTAAAGTGTTTTCTATCGGTAATGAGGAACGACAAATGATTCATTGTGACCGTGACGGCTCGCTGATGGATCCTGTAGTCATTGAGAAAGATACTGTTTTAAGGCTACTTCAGCATCTCAAACCTGATAAGTCCAGTGGTCCCGATGATATTCATCCTAGGATTATGAAAGCCATATCAGGTGAAATCGCTGAACCATTAGCGATACTATTCGACATGTCTCTGAGACAGTCCAGACTTCCTAGAGACTGGAAAGACGCCATAATAAGTCCGGTGTATAAGGCTGGGAGTAGGGATTTAGTTAGTAACTATAGACCCGTTAGCTTAACTAGTGCAGTTGTGAAACTGATGGAGAAAATCATTCGGACAGCTGTTATAAACTATGTTGAAGGGCAAAATCTTTTCTCCAGGGAACAACATGGTTTTCGGAAAGGCCTATCTTGCTTGACAAATCTTCTCATTGCACGAGAAGAGTGGGCTGCGGCAAAGGATCGGAATGCTTGTGTGGATGTAATTTTCATAGATCTAAGTAAAGCCTTTGATAAGGTTTCACACTCTGGTCTTAAATTCAAACTGAAACGTTTTGGAATCCATAACACAGTCGTCGATTGGATAAGTAACTTTCTCCATGACAGGAGACAAAGGGTAAGGGTTAATGGGGCTCTCTCCTCGTGGGTACCTGTAAAAAGTGGGGTTCCCCAAGCCACAATCCTAGGTCCTCTTCTCTTTTTACTTTATGTAAATGAATTGCCAACTGTAGCAAAATCATCCGTTCTACTCTTCGCTGATGACATAAAGATTTGGAGACCCATACATAGTATGTCGGATAGAATAGTATTACAGGACGATCTTAGCTCATTGGTGGCATGGTTGGAGAGGTGGTCACTAGAAGTAAATCCTAATAAGAGTGTAGTGATGCAGTTAAATAACTCAGATGAATCGTATGACTATACACTACGTGGATTCGTGCTACCCAAAGCAAGAAACTATAAAGACTTAGGAGTTATATTAAGCAATGATCTCAAAACGACTAGTCACTGTAAGGCTGCTGCTGCAAAAGGCTATAGGGTATTATGGTCAATTCGTAGGTCTTTCCAGTATTTAGATGATGAAATGTTTGGATTACTATACCCGATTTATGTGCGACCACATTTAGAATACGGGATTCAAGCAGCGAGTCCTTGTTTCAAATATGAAGCAGATATGCTAGAAAGAGTCCAACGACGAGCTACTAAGATGGTACAAGGTCTAGCTGGCCTATCTTATGAAGACAGACTGAGACACCTTAACTTATTTCCGTTATCTTACCGTAGAGTACGGGGTGATCTAATATTGGCTTATCGTATACTGAACGATGACCTTGGTATTAACATGTCTTATCTTTTGCTTCCGTCTAGAACCGATCATTTGAGAGGACATTCGAAGAAAGTTCAAAAACCGAGGTCAAACCGTTTACGTCTGGAGTTTCGTTTCTCGCACCGAGTAGTGAATTACTGGAATTCCCTACCGGAACACGTAATATCAGCACCGTCTGTTAATATATTCAAAACGAGATTGGACCTCCACAGTATTACAAACTGCAAGGATTAATATAGGTCGACAGACCTCCTATCCTTATTACTGAAGACTGAAGACTGACTTCTCAGGAGTCCTTCAAGAGGCAACTTGACCTATTCTTAAGGACCAAGGACAGCATCACACTATGATTTACCAATTTCTTTTCCTCTTTTATTGTTAACATACCTAGGTTCCTGCCTGGAGGATTTGGTGATCCCCTGCTACTAGACACGGAAGCCTGTTAAGCGAAAGCTTCTTCTATTCCGTCCACAACCATTTGAACCATTTTGAATACGCTAACCGCTTCTTTTGAGTAATGCGTTGCAGGGGATGAGATTGTCACTATTTATTCAGTTGGCTCTATTAATCCGTTATGCTTTTTGTGATTATTATGACGTCCTTGGAGTATCTAAATCTGCCTCAAATTTGGAAATTAAGACAGCATATAGGAAACTAGCGAAGAAATGGTAAGTTTCTGAAGTCCGTGGGCTTTTTTTACTATTGTAAACTTTCAGGCATCCGGATAAGAATCCTTCAGATAAAGCAAACAAAAAGTTCATTGAAATAAATGAAGCCTATGAGGTAGCATTCCATTAATCTGAAAATTTTTTATACCCTATTTAGGTACTATCTAACTCTAAGAAACGGCATGAGTATGATACCTTCGGAAAAGTCCATTCAGATGGGAGTGCACCTCCCCCTGGACATTATCCATACCGTCACGAATTTGTTCATTCTTCGTTTGAAGATCTTTTCGATTTTTTTCCAGGGTTCAACCGTGCCCCACAATTCTCAACCAATGTCCTTGTAAGTCCTATTATAATCTGCAGTAAATATATTGCAAGAAATACTCTTAACTGTCTGAGAACATATGAGTTCGGGAATCAGCCTAGTCTGCTCAGTATTCATATAGGCTTGTGAGTTTATACATGATTGTAGTTACGCATCAAAATGATGAAAATAATATTCAAATATTATGTATAACTCATGGTCATAGTTTTCCATCACGTTTGAAAATTTTCCGTTTTCTTCACTAGAACCAACACATTCGTATCAGGCTTTACGTTGATTAGGAAGTGACGGACTTTGACATCAGATAACGACTCGCTTGTTAATTTTTTTAAATCTCCTTTGTTTCTATTTAGAACTTCGAAGGTAAATTTGATTTTCACGTAAATATGATATCAGGGTTGTTACTAAATTTCGATAGTATAATAAGAAGCGAAGATTATCAAAACTGTGTGACATATTGTGCAGCAAAGACATTATCAAGGAAACAAGGTTCATGCTCTATCGAAAACCTAAAAGACAAGAAAACGATTGCGTCACATCCCACTGCGTTTACCAATTTAAATATGTATGTGATCACACATAAATAGGAAGGAGTAATTGTGATCTGAAAATTAAAGTGTATGAACATGTACTTAAATGGTTGCAGAAGCAACTAAAATCAAGTGATCCGATAAGAGTAGAGCATAAACATTCATCAACCTCTATTGCCAAATACATAATTGAAACAGGTCATAAGATTGATCTTAACTCAGCTTTTGTGGTGTTGTACAAAAGTGTAAAATTGCGTATACTAGTAATATTGACTTATTATCCAGATTGGTGAGGTTTTAAATTGTTTTCTCATTATGTCTTTATTATCCTTGTCTCCTCTTACCCTCCATTTCTAGTCTCGTTGACCTTTTATTTCTATATGTAAATTTTCTTAACAAGTATATGTGTTATCAAATTGTTCGAAATGTGTTGCGCCAATGTATCACATAGTTCTGATAATATTCGTCTTCTTGTTACTACTAAAGCCGCTTAATCGTCTATGCCTCAAGACCTGAAGCTTCTGATTGGCTCGTCCACAATTTGTAGTCTCGCCGAAGCGCTTTCACCAACAATGTCACAGTTAACACATTGTAGGTGTCATTTTGATAACATGCTCAAAGTATATTGAATATAGTGTTGTTTTCTCTCAGATGGAAGGTGAGATTAAGAAGTTGTCTCTAAAATAGCATATTCTTTTTCACTACTATGTCTTCTGGTCTGGTAATGTCTAAACAATGTGAAGCAAAAGGGAAAAGTCATCACTAATAGAAAGGTTGATTGCGATTACCTACAGACAATTGTCATTTGCACCCTATTGTCATACTCACAAGTCGACTAGACCTTCACTACTTATCCGGTTTATTTTCCAGGTTTCACATGCTTTAACCGGTAATTTGGTCGTCCACGTTTAACGTTGGCACTCTCTATTTTCTCAAATTCATCTACTCATTTTATTTCAGTAAACAAGGCTTCCAAATACCCTGGTACGGACGAGTGTGGGGAAAGTCATCGCTCCTCCAAATGCTCTCACATGGCCACACGTATACAGCCGCTGTCAGAGAAGTCCTACTGACTGCCTTCTCACTGTTGGCCTGTTGTTCACGAATTTGAAAGGGTGAAATGCGAATGTCCGACGCTTTAACCGGGCTGGTGGATACGGAAAATTCACTTAGGGGAGATGGAAAACCCTGATTCCAAACCAATGGTGCATATCTCCAGAATCATGAGGGTACAAATAGCATGTGAACTTATTGTTGGTCACCGGCTACCATGAGACTACACCTCCTGACGTTGCTCTATTGCCCTGCGGATCAGACCTCTAGGTCGAAGGCTCGGGGTGTGACCTCCTAAGAAAACCACTTGCTTCGATCTGGGCACCCGGGCAGTATAACAGCCTACACACAAATGAAATGACTTGTGTGGCGCATATGTATTCGGTGCCCCTTTGTATCAATGTTTATGTGTTTAAATAATAATAATAATAATAATAATAATAATAATAATAATAATAATAAATCCAATAAGCGTGTCATTTCGGACAATATTCGAGGTTGTTCGTCACCTAATAAAGTTAACAAACAAATGAGTTTAATTTGTTCTGTCGATCTTGTTCCTATTGGTATTTAGAGCCTTCAATAAACCGCATATTAATTTATGTGTATGAGCAATTAGTTGTTCTTAGTCAGCATGATTTAAACCGGTTAGTACGATGTTAAACAAATGTGTCACTTGTTAAACAGTAGGGAGGAGGAAAATCATATTTTCAAAAGTTTCAGTGACTTAAAGTTTATGTAAATTCAACGTTTCGCTTGGCCGTCTGATACAATCTTTGTCAAGTAAATATAATCCATCATCAAAATTATTGATAATCTTACATTAACTCGGCACCCAACTACTCCGAAATTATTCATTTAAATTTAAAAGTTATAATAAATTATTCTGTCACTATTTAGTTTCATATTTTTATTTGCTATTGTTTAAAGAATATCGACTTTCGAAACTATCGCCTAACCCACCTCCCACGATCTCGAACGGTGCCTTTGCTCATATTTGGTTATTCTGATTTTTGTTTCCCTTGTCGTCAAGTTCGTCCCATTTGGTCACAATTAGCAGATGAGCTTACTCCGTTGGGGATTACTGTGGCTAGTGTCAATTTAGAACATGATTCTGCACTGCGTGAAGAGCTACGCGTATTACATGTTCCGAGTGTGACAATAGTTGTTGATGGACAGGTTAGCTCATAGATGTTTTTCGGTTCTTTTCTGAAAGGGTTTATTGTAGATTCGGTTGTCTTTTCTGATCAGGAAAAGTTATCACTTGTATTTCACAGTAAATGGAAAATAAAACTTTACATAGAATAAATAGTATCGTTGGTAAAAGTTCTTTTCGTGTAATTTTTTATGCAGACAACATATGTAATTATAATCATTATGCGGCAGTCGCTTATTGTTTAAAATACTTGACCTTCAGTCAATAGGTCTTAGTCTCCGTCCATACTCTTTGAATTCGATCAGAAAAACCAGGTGGTATCGCTTAGCCGCACAAATGTAACTAAAAGTCAATCACAATGTTGACTGAAAGCTGAATACATAAACCTATACCTGTTAAATATGTTGAATTTTGTTATTCATTTATGTGATATCAGCTGATGTACACAGTCTTTTTTCCCTTTAAGTTTTTTGCTGTACTTTTTCTGATATTACTGTTATGCTGCTCAGAGGAATTTACATTGTGAATACTGGTCACCCAATTGTTCTCTTTTAGTTTAGTGAACTATGGGGCGTGCTTCTTTGATGGAAAACTGTGTTGTGGTTTCATGAAATTTAAATTATTCATTGTCGATCATTAATCGCTTACGAACAAGGATATTAATGACGAAGGATACTGTCCACTTTAAAAAATAACTAAAATGGGATTCCAGTTACTAATGTTTATCCTACCGTTATAAACGGTGTAGTAGAAAGATATAACAGGGTCGTTATTGCGTCTTATGCTGGTTCATATCTGATGAAATCTCAAGCCGCTGAGTTACATAGTCTTTAGTGTCTCAACAAAATAGTCACTCTACGATGCTATGTCACTAACTGATCGCCTTTCGGATTTATCCACCCAACAGCAGCATTCGATCTTGCTGTAATGACATGTTTAAACCGCCGATGTTGTTTCACGATCGTGACACTGATGGAATTACCATCACCATACCTTAAATCACCCATACGTCCTTGTCAGCATATATGAATGATCTTTCAGAGGCAATACTGATAAAATATTGAGTCACTGAAAATTCTTTGCTCTGAGGTATCAAGTTTCACAATCATATATCAGAACGTTCCTCACCGATACACTTTGTGTAAGCGATTTATTCAGCCAAAGTAACTGAAGTTTAATTTTAACCTCAGAACTGATGGCAGTTGAGTTATATAATGTTTTAAACAAATAAACTACGGCTTCACAATGTTTACATAATAGACTTCCCCTAACCAAGCAACATTCTTATAAATTCATTTTTGTAATGCTGATACAAAGAAAACAAATTATTTCTTCAATCATTTTTGACTGCGATAATCTTGGCTTTTGTTCCTTATTTTTTGGAAATCTTCAGGTTTCTTATTACTCTCGAGGTGATTTCAGTCATAATAGTCTTATTGACGCATTAAGAAGTGCAATTATGAAATCAAATCCTTCACGCTCTAAGGCGTTACCAATATTTCTTAGCACAACAATCGATACACCATTAATACAAAGTATTAGTGATTATGATACATTTATTAATACTTTTCATTATGGTTGGCGTCGTGACAGTCGACCCAGAATGGTACTTATTAAACCATTAACTTTACCACCGTTACGGTATTGTGTGGCTGCTTTCAGAGCAGCAGATCATTTAGCTGCTGGTTATATTAATTCTGAACCTGGTAACAATCATAATCTGGCTAAGAATTTCAATGTAAATCCAAATGAGGTTAGTCCTAGTGTATGTGTGTATTTATGTATCTGTATTTAGGTATTTAAATAAATTTATAATCTGGTTTACACTATAATTTTCATTTTGTCTCACATTTTGTATAGTATCTTGAGGTTATCATTTTCTGCATGTATGTAGTGCTTTTGAATGAAATGCTTTGTATATTTGTCATCATCCCCGAATGCCCTGGTTCGGATAAGGGTGGAGAGAGTCAGCTCTCCCTCTCGAAATGCTCTCACATGGTCACGCATATACAGCCACTACCAGGGAAGTCCTACTCACTGCCTTCTCGCGGTGGCCCGTTGTTTACGAAATCGAGAGGATAAAAGGCGTGTTTCCGACGCCTTAACCGGGTTGGTGGATACAGATGATCCATTTAAGGGAGATAGGAAACTCGTATTCCAAACCAATGGTGCACATAGTCTCCAGTATCCTGAGGGAAAAAATGGAGTGTGAACCAATCGTTGGTCACCGTCTACCGTCAGACTGCATTTCCTAACGTTGCTTAACTGCCTTGTGGATTAGGTCTTTAAGTCGAAGGCTCCAGGTGTGGCTAGCGAATGAAAATTTTAAATATCATATCATGAATTCGAAGCCTCTCTCATCTGGCTCGATTCCACTCATAGTGTAGTGGACGCCAGTCACAAGATTGTTTATAAGTAGAATGTAGCGGAACATGACATAGAAATTGTCACAGTTGTCCGACGGAGTGAAGAGTCCCAGTGCATCAAAAGCGCAGCGTTAGCATAACACTTTGAGAACAGATGGGAAGACACTTCAGATGATGAAACACTCTGAAATATGCAAATTGACGATTAAATGCTATTGATATGTATTATTTAAATATTTTGTAACTTCTCTAATAAGTATGAATACCTCCTGTCTATTGTCGTGTTTTACAATAGGACTGTTTTTTTATACGTTCTGTTTCATAATAATCCACAACTTAAGATTAAAATATAACTTAATCCTGGTTCTTCAAATCTCATGGAATTGCACCGTTTTACCACATAATATTAAAATCTTTTACTTTTAAAAATTTTCTAAACCTGAATAGAGGAATTCTCCAGTTCTATTTAACTTGTTTTAAAACACCTATCTAGCCGTTATTGTTGTATAGTAAATATAATCAATCTAAACTAGAAATTATCTTTTTCACCATAGGAGACCTTATTGATATATCATGAAGATTCAAGCATACCTGTCTATCGTCAATCAGCTACAAAATTATCACCTACTTTATTGGATAATGCAATGTTAACTTATAGTCAATTAAATATCCCTAGAATATATAGTCGTGCACGACTGTTGGATTTATGCCCAACTGATGGAAGTAAACCAACTAGTAAATATGCTTTAGAATCAGATAAACATTATAATGATCATTCTAATCATCGTCATTTATGCTTAGTATTATTGTTAAATTCAAAGTTATCCAATGTTGAACAAGTAAACAGTTGGGGTGATATATGGTTAACTATGTTACGTCATACATTACAATTATCTCAAACAGATTTATCAAAATTATATCATACAAATCAACATAGTTATCATTTTATGCCTGTACATATTTATGTGGATCGTCAGATTAGTTTAATGCAAAAATTAAGTACATCTTCTACATGTTCAAATGAATCGTGTAATTTACTTAATGAAGGTGGGTTAAAAAAGCTACTTGATTGATTAAATTAAATTAAATAATCTGTAATGGTTCTACAAATATTTTATTAATGTTTTCATTTGTAGTATAGTGATTTCTTTAGTAAGACTAAAGGATTAGCATACAATTTCATTTGGGGATTTCGTAGTTGGCGTGTGTATGTAACTCGTATATTTTAACGCTCCCACTATTGCTGTAATGAAAAAAATCACTGCCAAAAATCTCACACTATCCGGAGAAAAGTTGGCTTGGAGGCCCAACTGTAGCTGGTGCGTTGAAGTGGTGATTGGGCTCGATTGTTATAATAATAATAATCTAATCAAGCTATATTGTCTGGAATACGCATTTCTTAAGGTCCTAATACTGCAGGTAGGTTATTTGGAAAAAAGTCTTAACGGAACAATGTAAAGGTCCATGGGCAATGTCGTACTACTAACCGTGCTGGGGTACAACGGGAGTAGGTTTTTTCCTTAAACAACCTGTCTATGAGGCGGTGTTCCCTTCTCACGTAAAAGTAGGAATAGGAAAAAGTTGACCCTAAAAGTAAAACAACTTACTTTACCCTACCCAGAATTAAGTACTATCTAATACCTAGTTCCTAAATTTTTACGTGATTTGTAAACTCTACCTCATCTGGAGATTTTATCATTTATCTACATAGTTCTTGCATAATAAAATGCTCTGATGCCATTCGGTTTTCAAAATGTCGATATGTTTAGTAAAATTGCGTTTGTTCTGTGCCTAATTAGTATGGAATAGGGTTTATATGGCGGCTATGAAGTGGTTAAATCATGCTTGTTCAGTGTAGTTGAAGTGATAAATACAAAACTGATTGATATGTGAATCCTGGTAATACGGTGTGACAGACGTATAGCTTTTATTGAGGTCAAATTATCTATACAAACCCGTGAATGCACTCATACCAATATACAAAATAACCGGCTAGGATAGTGAGTTTTTAATAACAGTGAAATGACTAAACATTTCCTTTTCTTTTCTTTTATACCTGCATCAGTGACGTTGAATTTTTGTTACTGTTCGATTATCTTTATATGGTCATGAACTGATACTTGCACATTCTCTCTACTTTTTGGGCTGAAAATTTATTTCATGAATTTATCTGTAACGCTGTAAGCAGTTAAATTGCTATATTTCAGAGTATCAGTGATCTTCATAAGTTCGTTTGATGTCTCAGTTATCAATCAGCTAGTCAGTCAATCATATGCAACTTAAAACCTACCATGCACGTACATCGGTTGAAGGTTTTACACTGTATCAGTACAAAAAGACAAAATTATCAAGAATAACGTCAGATTAGTAGAAGTAATAACAGTAGCAGTAGAAAAGACTAGATCTAGACGATATAATTCGAGATGAATGTGAATGAGTTTATGAAATTAAAATGAATCTAAGATAATCTGGAAACCCAAGATTTAAGGGGTCGAAAATAGTGAATAATTATGTTCCCTTGAGAACTGTTTTGAACCATATCATCCAAAATCTCTAATCATTGATTACGATAATCACGACTACTTTAGTCAAGTAATCTGAGCCTATTCGCATGAACTGTAGTCTCACCTCAAATATCGAGAAACTTTTTTGTGTCCGTTAAACCTCCGAAAATTCTTACCTGTTTATAGTGTTTTCTTCAAGTTTTTGATAAATTTCTTCTTTTTTTATACTTTAGATAATATGGGCCGTTTAGCATTAATTTGGCGTATCAGTTCAACTGAAACAGTTTATCAATTTCTTCCCACTAATTCAATGTCTCATCCAAGAACTCATTTAAATGAGAAAATGCTGAAACCAAATGATTTAAAAAGTTTAATCCTGAAATCTACTAAACAGATGTATACTGCTTTAATGAATGATTTAGAAAATATTATCCAGACAGTATCTATTATTGACAAATTAACTAATCCAACAAATCATTTCACTCATTCAATTGATAAAGTGGTATCTCAATGGTATCTACTCAAAGATTGTATGATTGAGGAATTAATGATTGATGAATTAGTAGCATCAATATGGATTAGAATGAGAAATAGGCTGTTACAAATTCTTGTGGATATTGGACATTCAATGTTTGAGTAAGTTGATTTTTTCTCTTTCTCTTCTCAGTAGGTTAGTCATTCAGATATATTGTTCTCTTCTCTGTTGACGTTAAATTATGCTGAACAAGTAGATAGATTACAGTTACATATTTCTTTTTTTTTGTTTAAAGCATTAAATAACCTTATTTAGAGAACGAAGACATCGTCAGGCGAAAAACCAACTGCATAATTACACTGCAATTGTAAAATATGTAAACAATACATTAAATGCACCATTTGCGCATTTTCGTTGAGTTGTCCCCTATAAACTCCATTGTGTTATTTATTTATTTATTTGAACACATAAATATTAGTACAAAGCGGCACCGAATACATGTGCACCACACAAGTCACTTGATTTGTGTGTGGGCTGTGATACTACCCGAGTTTCCAGACCGAGGCAGATGGTTTTCTTAGGGAGCCACACCCGAAGCCCTTGACCTAAAGGTCTAATCCACAAGGTAGTTAAGCAACGTTTGGAGGGGCAGTCTGATGGTAGCCGGTGACCAACGATTGGTTCATACACCATATGCTCCCCCAGGATACTGAAGGCCATTTGCACCATTGGTTTGGAATCAGGGTTTCCCTATTCCCCTAGATGGATCCTCCGTATCCACCAACCCGGTTAAAGCATCGGAAACACGCCTTTTATCCTCTCGATTTCGTAAACAACAGGCCACCGCGAGAAGGCAGTGAATAGGACTTTCCTGGTAGTGGCTGTATACGCGTGACCATGTGAAAGCATTTTGAGAGAGGTAACTCTCCTCACTCTCGGCATTACCAGGGCATTTGGACTTTCCGCATTTTTATCTTCTTCTTATTTTTGTCTTCTGTCAATAAGAATTTTACCTCCAATCCTTGCTACATACTGTTGTGTCCTTAGCCCCGTCAAATTTCACGTGACTAAATCGCCGATCAGAACACTGACTTACACGACCTTGATATTGTGTCAAACCAGCTATGCGTTAACCAGTATGAACAGCCTAATGTCAACTCTGAGTTCTTATTGTACCTCACCTAGCCCTATCAATTTGAGTCCAGAATACAATCTCAGCTTCCACTGTATGAATCATGTAATTCAGGCAAACGCAGTTTGCGTGCAAGCAAATCAGACCGTATCATATCATGAAGTAGAAAATAACTATACAAGATTAAGCCAAAAGTTTTTGTGAGTGTGAAAGACTGTACAACCTTTTAGTTAGAGATATGTTTAAGAATACAGGTTATTGACTAGGTCGACTCTAACAACCTGCTCGTCACACAGTATATTTGCTAGGTAAAGTATTATAGAGCTATACTTTTGCTTGCGTGCGTGGGTTTCAATGTATTGACGTCTCGTTCTACATATGTACCCACCTCATTAATGAAAACGAAGTCTAGATGAGCATCTAAACGAGTGTGAAATTCTGCTACATTTTGGTGACCTAGTAATGAAAGTCACATGCATTGAAACCAACACATACAATTGAAAGTGAGCCACTGAAGGCAGTAACAGCGAATTCAGTGAATTCATCAGCGAAAACAGATATTACAAATGATGTGCCGTGTGGAGTTACGTAGATGTTGGTAACATAAACATATTTGTATTTATTCAGGTGTTTTGGATGGCATCTTATAGTTAGACAATCGCTAAAATCATTAGAAAACTTGAAACATACATAGGTAAATCGACACCAGTTTACGCTTACAAACGTAGCTACACTGCCGCCAAACGACTTATTATTGTTTGATCGATCCTGACGATAAATATTGAAATCATGTAGTGATACTAAGAAATCGTCCTGTAAATCAGTTAACCAAGATTTTTGAATTGTAATGATGCCACATTTACGATACATGCTTTGGCTTAATAGAAATTGAAGATAGTCCACCTTGTTAATTAGTGATCGGCAGTTAGAATTTAGCAGCTTGGGAATCGACATATGAATTATATTCATTCTCTTCAATACATATTGCCAACTACCACGATATCTCTTATTGTACTTTTTTGTAACCTATGTCCTATGCTTTTCATAAACACACCTATAAAGGTTATGCGATTAACAGACATAATGAGGTGTTAAAACAATATAAAAAACAGACAATCTGTTGAAATATTTATATGGCAGAAACAGGTAGCCCAGTTATTCAAGCAGACCGCCAAATAACATCTTTTCTTTATTAGGTTATAGTAGTTCTAATGGTACTTCGAAAGAATGTAGTTTGATTTTTAAAGAGATTATATTTTCGTGTAATGAAAAATTATAATATTTACGAAGATCAGAATCTAAGCGATGACTGAATTGTTTGCATTTATTGCATTGTGATGGATTCTGAATCATATCATACAATCTCTCTAACCACTAGTTGTGCTTATCTGGCTGACCCTAACCTGTTTGCAGTATGTCTGTCTGGTGGTTAGTGAATTCTTGGGCTAGTTCCGATTTTCGGTTTTGTCATCGTTAGCGTTTTTCCTACTGACCTCTACGTCAACCATCATCGTTGCTCCAAAGTATATGCAGTTATTTGTTGTATGTACTGCATTTCCAGATCACCTCAGTCAATTGAGATTCACTAATATTTCAATCTATTTCTCATTATGTGCCTATTACCATGCATTTAACCTCTGTATCTCTCACTCTGTGGACCAAAGATACACGAACAGTGCCTTGAAGTCATTTATGACCAAATAATCGTAACCTGGTATATATATATATATATATATATATATATATATATATATATATATTCTTTAGTCATTCTACCATATTAATTTTTCTCCTTGGTATTTTTCTTTTTTACAGCATTGTAAATCATCCTTTGGCATTTGTTTTTTCAAGTTTTATGATTATCATCGGTTTACTATTATTCAGTTTGATATCAACACTTGTACAAGCAACAAAAAATGAACAACAGAATAAATGTACAACAGAGAAGCGTTACAACGAAACAAATCAAGATGTTAATACATCATTCTCATCAAACAGTAATATTAGTGATAAAAATAGTAGTAGTTGTGGTAATAATAGCAGTAGTAGTCAGTGTAAATTTACTGAAGGGTCAGTTGTTTTGTTTTATTTCTGTTTTTTTTTAAAATTAATTGTCTGATTGCAACGTATATGGTTTTCATCAACCAATTGATGTATCATTTAGAAGAGCCATTTATAATCAAGGAGCACTGAAACACTGTTTTAGTCTAGTTAGATATTCCTTTATAGTAGTGTACATTTATGATTTATTCAAGACCGTAATAAGGCGTTTTCCTACATCAATAATGATGAATTAGTTTTGATTATAAAAAAATAATAGATCGATTCATTAACATATGTTTGATCATAGCTTAAAGTACATGGAATATTTTAAATGGTTCTTTTCTTACATCCGTTTTATTTGTATATATGTCGATGAGGTTGTGAATCTTCATCGACTGGGATAATTGGGTCACGTGTTACGTATACCTGAACACCGATTACCACGACGCACAATGTTGACTAGTGTTGGGGATGACTGGAAGAAAGTTAGGAACAGCCAAACCAAAGCGTGGCATCACTCCTCGAAGTCACTAACTTCTAGTCTTAGCCATGTTGATAGATGCAGACTACTCGGTTGGAGTCCGTGTGACTATCGTAATCAATGGTTGGAGATTGTGGGTGACATGGCTCAGAGTCGATCACAATAGTGTAGGTGTATACACTCGCTGTCTTCCGTTAAACCATGACATTAAAATTGCTTTGTATCTTTCTTTCTACCAACTAATTCTAATATATCGTTATATGCAATCTTTCTTTTATATATCACCACCTCTGAATTAACTACTTTTATGAATCCGGTGTTCATCTTGCTCTGCTAATGAGGTATGGCATCTTGGACCAATGCACATATGTGTTTGGTCCTACGTTGTAACTGAGTGATTGTATATATGTAAAGACTGAATAAAATCGTCCTTCTTTAATTATTAACTGCCATTTATATTTATTGATAAGGGTTTTTGTACAGTTTTATTGTTTATGAAATTGTGCATCGCATAATATACTTGGCATATAAATTCTATTGTTATCGCTTCTGTTTTCTCCAGTGAACTAGAAGAAAACTGTACCGACCATCATAACGATTCCTCTTAAATTTTGCAATAATTAGCTTCACAAAAGGTTATAAGCGTTGTGTAAAAGCACTTGAATAGATACTGTTTACATTACACATTGATTTTGCTAAAAGAAACACAACCGAAAACCGGGAAATTCAATGTTAAGTTTGTATAATAAAAAAATAGTGACCCATTTTTATTTATTTATTTGAACACATAAATATTGGTACAGGAGAGCGCCAATATATATGCACCACACAAAACAATGGGAATTCGAAGAGAAGTAGAAAGAGAAAAAAAAACTAAGGAACGCAAAAGAAAAAGAGAACAATGACGAAGAGATTGGAGTAAGGTAGTGTGGTAGTAACGACGGAACGAAAAGGTACAATCAGAAGAAATCTTTCAGTTAGGGAAGACACAACCACTTTTTATGAAGAAAGTTAAAGAAGGTTACAGCAGGATCGCCACTGGCTTCTATTCTGAGCCATATCTGATAACGTCTCTAGCCACTGTGTAGCACCATCTCTCGGACCCCAGCCAGGGAGTCGTGAAGGACCAACACAAGCCAGTCCTTTGCAGCTTTCTTTCATGCCACGACACCATGTCATATACTGACCACCTCTCCGCTTCTTCCAACCAGTCCCAGAGTCGGCAAATAATGCACGACGTGGAATTCTCTGGGACGACATTCGGAGAACATGTCCAAGCCACCGAAGTCGGTGTTTCAAGATGGTGACACCAATTGAGTTATCATCTCTGTGCCCGAACACACGATGCCGAACCTCTGCATTACTGACATGGTGTTGCCACTGAATGTCAGCAATCCTTCGGAGACAGCGATGATCGAACACAGAGAGTCGTCTAACGTCCTCAACTCGGAGAGGCCAGGTTTCACAAGCATAGAGCAAAACTGCTCTCACCGACGCGTTGTAGATCCGGCCTTTTACAGCCAGACTAACATCACGAAGGCGCCGAAGGTGGCCCAGATTGGCATAAGCCGCTCTGGCTTTCACTATTCGTGCATTGATCTCATCACTCACACCCCCACCAGCACTTATGCAGCTACCCAGATACACGAACTTCTCAACTACGTCTATCTGCTCACCGTCCAGCGTGAGTACAGGATTAGAATCCTGCCAGTCTTGTAGAAGTACTTTGCACTTCGAAGTTGCAAAGCACATACCATACCTACGGACACTGATTGCCAACTGATTAAGTGCGGATTGCATGCCTTGGGCATTATCGCACAGTAAGACAATATCGTCCGCATACTCAAGGTCGAGAAGTCTTTCTCCAGGCAACAGATCCACACCACCATTACTTACATTCATCAGAGCTGTTTCCAGAATGTCATCGATGGCAAAGTTGAAGAGGAATGGTGAGATTGGGCAACCCTGCCTAACCCCACTGCTCGAATGGAACAATGGAGAGAGGTGGTTGTATGCCCTCACTCTGCCTGAGGTGTTTTTATACAGGGCTTTTAGGATGTTAATAAACTTCTCAGGCACACCCTTCTTCAATAGACAATCCCAGAGAACAGTCCTATCCAACGAATCGAAGGCAGCCCTGATGTCAAGAAACACTACGATTGTTGGCCTTTGATAAGTATGGCGGTGTTCTAACATTTGGCGGAGGGTGAAGATATGATCAATACATCCTCGACCAGAACGAAACCCGGCCTGCTCCGCGCGAGTCAATCTTTCTCGGGTTTTGAACAACCTACGAAGAATGACGGAAGCCAATAGCTTGGACGCAATCGGAAGTAAACTTATCCCCCGATAGTTGTTACAAGAACGACGTGAACCCTTTTTAAAGATAGGGACAACTATTGACTCATTCCATGACGTTGGTACACTCTCTAGTTCCCAAACCTTTGTAAACAACGTCGTCAATTCCTTAGTCAAAAAGTCACCACCATCTTTAAAAAGAGCCGGAGGTAAGTCATCTGGGCCAGGTGATTTGTAACGCTTCAAGAGTTGGAGTTCCTTGCGGACTTCCTCCTCGTTTAGCGGATCAGTCGTCACCGGCCATGGAGGGCAGGACAGTCTGACCGATGTTGCCGGAGCAGCAGGCCAGTTGAACTGCCCTTCGAAAAATTCTGCCCATCGTCCAAGACGTCGATGGATGTTAGTGATTGGCATCCCATCATCCTCGCACATTGTTTCACTCACACCAGACTTCTTGCTGCCAGTGGCTCGGATGAGCTGGAAGAGCTTCCGGTAGTTACCAAATGCAGCTGCTGCTTCCAGCTCATTAGCACGCATCGACCACCAGGCTTCTCGGTCCTTACGCAAGCTTTGCCCAATTTCCTTACGTAACATCCTTCGTTTATGGTCAAACTCACGGTCACCCGGAGTAGACCGACGGGCTTCAATGAGTTGTAAGGAACCAGAAGAAACCCAGTGCTTAAAAGCGGGACGTTCCGCAAACCCACAACTGACTGTTCCCGCCATTTTCATGGCGTCACGCAATTGCAACCAATGCTCATCTATACTTTTCGGTGGAGTGGTAGCTAGCCTAGAGGCTAGCTCGGTTCGATACTTACTTGCAACAGAAGTTGCAACCAGCTTGCTAACATCAATCCGTTGATGGCGTTCACTTCGTTGTCCACTGAAAAGTAAGGCAAGATTGGCGCAGACCAAGGCATGGTCAGAGTCCAGATAGGTACTCCAAAAGGAGCGGAAGTCTTGTACACAACCACGCCAGCGGTAGCTGATCGCGATGTGATCAATCTGTGTCCAGGCTTGAGATGCAGAGGGAGGACGCCAGGTGGCACATCGGCGATGACTGTGCCGAAAGTTAGTGCTAGCCAGAAACAGGTTGTGGTCTGTGCACAGTTGTAGTAGACGGTCCCCGTTATCTGACCTGCGACCAACGAGTCCCCATCGGCCACCTAAACGACTCTCTTCTGTGCCTAGACGCCCGACCTGAGCATTCAAGTCTCCGGCTAGTACTACAATATCTGTCGAACGCACTTTCAGGAGAAGAACAGATAACTGGTGGTAAAACTCATTCTTGATTGCATCCGCGCTGCAATCTGTCGGGGCATAGGCGGAGATGACGAAAAGACATCGTTTCTCACGCCGATTTCTTCTCACTTTGATGGAACTTTCTAATCTAACAGCACATAACCGACTGTTAATGGGGATCCAATCGACTAGTGCTGCCTCAGCTCTAGCGCTTAGTGCGACACCAACGCCAGCAAGACCAGACGAAGATGCCACAGGGTCCCCCGGATAAGCGCACGTAAAACAAGCTTTTCGAAGCGACAGATGGAGATCGAATTTGTAGTACTTCGCCAGAGTCTTCAATACGGGTCTCGGATAGACAACACACGTCGATATTAAGACTTTCCAAAGACATAGCCAGCCCTATCTGTTGTCCGACCTGCATAAATGTGCGAACGTTGAAGGCAGCCAGTTTGAATGGTGCACGTGGTTTCAGAAAATCTGCTTCAGTCCTCGTATTCGGTGGTAACATACAATTTTCAACCGGACAGTGACTCGAGAACGTTTAGATACAGTCGGATTTCCACCAAAGACGAGCCACTGTATAGGTATAAAAGAGGGTGAATAATGTGGAAAATAATAATAATAATGATAATAATAATAACAATAATGACAATAATAGTAGTAATAATATTAGTATTAATAATGACAATAATTGTAATGATAATAATCTGAATCAATTATTTGTTTTTCAAAGCGAAAAAGGTAATTTCCATAGACATAAAGAGTTCATCAATTTGTGTGTGGGCTGTGATACTGCGCGGGTGCCCAAACCGAAGCAGGTGGTTATCTTAGGGGGCCACTCCCCGAGCCTTTGACCTAAAGGTCTAACCCACAAGGCAGTGGAGCATCGTAAGGAGATGCAGTCCCATGGTAGCCGGTGACCAACGATTGGTTCATACGCCATTCGTTCCCGCAGGATACTGGAGCCCATGTGCACCATTGATTTGGAATCCGGTTAAAGCGC